GCATAATTCTGAGTTCTGACTTCTCATTTCTGAGGTAAGTTGAATGTAGCATAATTTTGAAACAGGCTGCAAAGGATGCTGGGACATAGAGTGTGTTTGCTCATGACCAGCTCAGTGTGTGTGAGGCAGTTTAAGCTCCTGCAAATTTGACTTACTGAATCTGATTGTTAAATACAGGATTCTCTGCAACGCAAAGATGAAAGTAAGATCCTTTCTTATAGTGTCTGTGTATGCGCACTGTGCTATTGAATTGAACTGAAATCAACATGGCTGCACACAGCATCAGCAGTAAACAACGTAGCACTTCTTACCTTTAAACAAGCTATGCTGTATATACAAAGCATTTACTTTAGAACAATCAACATAATAGTCTATATATAGTCTGTATAAGTCAACATATACTACACAGTTTGCTGTTTTTAGGTGGAAAATATACATCACTCATCACAATTAGCTAGCTAGCTTGTTGCTAACAAAAGTTGAACATGGAGACGTCCATGTTTTTTTGCCTTACACTTTGTAACTCAGTGTAAGTAACTCTTAGATTGGAGAGTCATTAATACCCAGATAGCATGCGCAGAATCTAAAACATATACTGTATTTGGCATATCTTCTAAATTGTCATATCCTGTAAAATTCGCTGATGTGGGCCATATAAACATTTCTACTATGGTTCACTTCTGGTAGAGATCTGGCTGTGTTCCGGCAGTACAGATGTGTGCCATATGAAAATGCCTGACTCCTGGTAGAGGTGTGGCTGTGATGCCAGAATGTGCCTTTACTCTGGCAGTACAGACATAGGCCCAATTTGGGCCTTCATTCACTCCCATATGTGAACTGGTTATATGGGCCACATCCAAGCCAAGGAAAATTACCTGAGTGGGTACTTCATCATCAATATGCACCACTGTTAATAAAACACGTGTATTGCACTGGGCATTAATACTGTATAGTACACCTTGGTGCGAAAATGAGATACAACTGCACTGGATTTATGACTGAATACTATTTAAATCCTATTTGCAATTCAAATCAAGACTCATACATTCAAGATGTGATTGTATTAGACTTCTAAGCTAATAAGAGAAACTATATATGTACTTTTGACAGAGTCAAAAAACTTCTCTCCAAGTCCTTCCATCGCGTCCAATTCCAAGGCAACCCAAGGCAGAATCTAAAAAGCTGGATCTAGACTTTGATTAATGCAACAGTTTTATTGACTTCCATTTATTCCTCCCTTTATAAATCCCTTTATATTATATTCTTATGTACAGTCAGGTCCATAAATATTGGGACAGTGACACAGTTTTGGTAATTTTGCCTCTGTACACCACCACAGTGGATTTGAAATGAAGCAGTCAAGATGTGACTGAAGCGTAGACTTTCAGCTTTAATTCAAGGGGTTTAACAAAAATATTGCATTAACCGTTTAGGAATTACAG